ATTTCCTTGGGACAGATTCCTAGAACTGGAACTACTAGTTCAGATGATACTAGTTTTTAAAGCTTTTGATACATTGCCAAGTTGACACAAACTATTTGAAAGGCATAGAATAATGGTTTTTCAGGTGGGGGCTAGTAAGACACTCATTGTATCAGGATCACCTATAAAAATTTTGCAAGCCACACATGTCCCTCTATACTACCTCCTACTTCAGGTTGAAAATCACTACTAAGGAAGGAACAATATGGGCTTTGGGGCAGTGGTGTGCTGGTAAATATTTAATAACAGGCTCTCAGAAAAATAAAGTGCCTTAAGTTGCAGTGTTCACCAGTTTTCCTGGTGTAAATATTTCCACCATGGCTGGCTTTAAATGATCAATGTGATGTTATTGAATACAGAATTGGGAAGAGACGGGCACAATCAGCTCTCAGAGCTGGTGGGAACTGGCTCCAGCACACCACGGCACCCTTTCACGCCTGGCTTGCACACCATCGAGTCCTTCATGCATGCGTGTATTCGTTCCCTTTCACCCACATCCCAAGTTCTCATTCCTTTACCCCATAGGTAGTCACTGTAATTGAGTTTTCATGTATCTATGTAAAACATAAAATGTATGGTTTGGGGTATGTGTTTTTATTTTGCATAAGTGGTGTTATGTCGATTTTTCCTTACTCTTAGTTATTCTCTTATATTATTTTTGGAATTGTAAATATTGGGGTTCTGATGCCGATTCTGTAGGTGGGATGCTGCCCCCACCTCCATCTTTTCTCACAGCCTTCTACGTCTCATCTTTGTCCCCTGTGATTTTACTGTCACATTGTCACAGGGATTAACATTTCCATTCACTTCTGAAATTGCAATCAAGTTTATGTGTTTTATTCAAATATTGACTCTAAAGTTGTAAATGAATAAGCCTTTTTGTGTGACCATGTAAATATTGCTCACTCTAGGGCCAAGTGTTATATGCAAAGATTACATTTATTTTTCTGGAGGTCCAATGTCATGACCAAAAGGAATTCTCTTTATCTCATCACATGCCTAAAAACATGTCACATTTTAGTTTTCTTCATATTATGGAAACCAAATAATATGAGTCTCCTCTTCAATCAAGAAAAACATGAAATCACAAATGGGAATCTCCCTTTCTGGAATCAGTTTTAATTCAAGAAAACTATGAAGCAATTATCTTGGACCTCACACCTTTTGCCAGGCCCTCTGTGATGAATCACTTATCTTTGCTGATAAGAGAAGGGAAGAATGTAGGCTACTTATGACCCAGGGAGCTTACCTGATCCGCTTAAAACACACATATTAAAACTTGTTCTGCTCAATGGTAAGTGGAAGATGCCCTAGGTTTCTTGTCTTGCCACTTGATACAAAAAGAAGACTTGCTGAAGACTGTTTTATTACTGCTCTAAAACTTAAGTCATTATGACTGTTAAAATTGTAAAACATGTTTAGGTTGTTATGAGAAGTCATAAAACTTCACTGGTAGAAGAGATTAAGTGTTGATTGAAGACTGAGCTTCCTGTTAAGCATTTTTGTTGTAACTGAACTTAAAATGAACTTGGATTAAAAAAAAATTATTCTCCCATCAGACTAAATTGTGTAATTCTCTAACCCTGTAAATGGCTAGAATTACTTGTGGTTTTTAAGTTTGTTGCCATGATTTGCATTGCTATGTTTTTTGGGGAAAAAAATTGATATAACTGACATACAATAAAATTCGCCATTTTAAAGTGTGTAATTCAGTGATTTTTAGTATAGTCACAAGGTTGTACCACCATCACCACTATCTAATTCTCACTGAATGGTTTTGTTTTCATCTTGTGATTAAGTTAGATCTGTTACAAGGTTCATCTTCCATCTAGAAATGTGATATTCAGTCATTGCCAATTTTTGATGTATACTGAAGTACCTTTTGCAATCAAGAGATGATTTTTCTCCAGCTACTGTACTAAAAGTGTTAATTATCAGGTAAAGAACATCCCTCCAAAGAGTGTTTGGACAGTGTCTGGAAAGCAAGTAGTGGAGGTTCCAGAACAGTATGCATGACTTTCAGGCTCTCTGATGGGCTGAGAGACCAATTATTGTTACTTTTTACACTCTGTAAAAATAAGAATTTTTTGTACTTTTCATAGTCTCCCTTGGGAAAGAGGATTTCACGAACTTATTTCTGAGCATTATTGATCTGTCTCCCATACGGGAATATTTTTGTCTCTGACAGCATTTTAAGAAAACAAATAGGTATCTGCTTTACAGTAAAGTGTTTTTTGTGTGTCTCTTTGCTGTCCCCAACTAAATTAAAAGCTCCTTAGGGCAGGAAACATGTCAGACCTTCCTTTGAAGCCTCCACAGGAGCCCACACAGATCAAGGCAGAGAGCTGGCACTTAGCAGACATTGATGACCTTGACGTACCGCTGCGCATCTGCTCTGTGGCTATTTCTATGTTCTGGGAAAAGGAAACCTTTGAGTTTGGATTCTGCTACTTCCTAGAGGTTTGACAATGGAAAAGTAATTAGAGAATCTCAGAACCTCGTTTTTCACTCTATTTTGAAAGATGTTGCATACCTCCAAAAGCAGATCCTCCTTCAATAATTTTCAACATATGGCCCTTCTTTTTTCATCTAGACATCCATTTCTTATACACCCTATTTCCACTCTACCGTTGAATAATTTTCAAATGGAACCTGGACATCATATCATTTTCTCTCTAAATGTTTTAGTATGTATCCCTAAAATACAAGCCCCAAGGTGGGCTGAGATATTGTCTTCTTGCTAAAGAATCTTGCCTCTTGAACTTCCTGGGTGTTAAAATGCAGTCTTATCTTTAAGGTGGAAGTCTTCCTGCCTTTAACCATGCCGTCTACAGCTGGGTCTGCAGCTAAGTTAGTTGCTCAGTTTGCAGAATAACCTCGTCAGATCTGAAGGAGGAAAGACAGCACATAGGCCTGGACCTTTTAGCCTGCTAAAGTGAACCTTACACAAGGTTACAAATGATTAGCATAATAAAACATGTGCTACTCTTCTTGATCTGGGGCACATTAACTGATTTCACTGAAGAATGATTCTAGAGCTTAATGTTTAACATAGAGTTTTAGCAGGGGGATTTCTTTGCATGTAGTTACATTGCTCTGACTGCAAATATCCTACCCTGCCCCCTCCGGAGGCCCTCACCCTACTCTGACTACATCCATGGTCCCTGTCTCACTATCATGGCCATAATATCATTGTCACACCTAATGATGTTATTAGAAATTCCTTAATGTCATCAAACTTCCAAACTTGTATACGTTTCCCTGCTTTTTCCCCCTCATCTCTTTTTCATGTCTTTCTCTTTGTTTTTGTTTTTGTTTTTTGTTTTTTTTACAGCTGGTTCATTTAAATAAGGATCCAAATAAGGTCAACTTATTTATTTGGCTGATTTGTCTCCTTTCTTTTAGTCTATTGATTATTTTGCCACTTACTTATTGAAGAAGTTGGGTCATGTATCCTGTACAGCTTCCCACATTCTGGATTTTTCTTTTCACATCCACATGGTGTGGTCTAACGTGTTACTCCTTCCCCTGTGGCAGCTGGTAGAGCTAGAGGCTTGATCAGATTCAGGTTTGATTCTTTTTATGAAACTGCATCATGGGTGATGTTGTATACTTCCTTCCTATTGCATCTCAGCAGGGGCCATGTGCCATCAGATTGTCTGTTTCAGTGACATTATGGATTTGTCAATGGGTTCAGGTGTGATCAGTCTTACCCATCTCTCAGTAAAGTTCTCCACTAGGCTTTCACCTAATAGTTTTTCAGCCATTGATGATTATTGCCTAGATCCATTATTTCACTGGGAGTTGCCAAATTATAATTTAATTCCATCCTTCTTTCTAAGTGTCCTGGCTGAAATTAAAGAATAGTTTTCTTTTACCAACTCTTTGGTTACCCTAAAGTACAGACAATTTGTACAAGAAAGGCAAGATATTTACTAGTTTTCCTAATAATGATTTGTTTTTTTTAGTATTCTGCAAAGTGATTTATGAGATTTTCATTTTAGTGTTACTATGAACAATGGATTTTAGTATCATTGATGTGTTTCAATTCTTTGCTTTCATTATTCTTTTTGATGATCAAAATTTCCATCTTTTGCCAATGGAAATATTTTCAAGTTGAATCTTGTAATTTTGTTATAACCCCAGCAGTTTTTTTACATATTCCTTGCTATCTGGTACGACAAGATTTCCAGGTCCAACTTATACATTTCCTGGCCCAGACCCGGAATTAGTCATTTATCTATGGTGCCAGAGTTTCTTTAAGTGGGCAATAGGAAAAAAAAATCTAGACTCTAGGAGTGCACAGGGGTCGTTTTTCTAGGCTCTTCCAATAGATAGTTTTAGGAGATATACATATGAAATACACATAATGAATCCATATTGATATTTCCAATTCAAAATTAGGATTGTAAAGTTTCTACATAACTCCTTTGATTTTTGTATCTTTTTTTTCTTACACTGAAAATCTTCGTTCCTAAAATATTGATATAATTGCTATTTGCTTTATCTTACAATATGTACTAGTATCCAAATAATACCAATATTACTACTAACAATGTAATTACTGAGAACAGATTAGGGTTGTTTCTGTTTATCCCACTAGGGATGTAGAGTTAAAATTCTGTGTCTTAAAGTCATTTGAAAAAATTGGTACTCAGCATTCTTTGTTATTCTTTTCTTCTGATTTTTAGGATTAAGAATCCTTTTTAGGGCTAAAAAAGGGGGAATAAAAAGCAGTGCCCTGTGGGTTTCTTCCAGAACTAAATAAAAATAACACATACCCAGTTGTCTCATTTGGTCATTTAATCCCTCCATGTCTAGCTTGTTCATATGAAAAGGGGTGATAAATCATATTGTCTACTTGACAGATTTTCTGTAAAGAGTAAAGAAGAACATAGACTTTATTTCTTTCCTCTTCCCTCTTCTGCTTTCATCAGGGAAGTCGTGTGGGGAATTTGAACCATTCAGAAGATGGTGACCAAGAAGACAGAGCCGGTCACCGTCATCAGCCTTCGGAAGCTGAGCCTGGGGACCCCAGAACCACAGCCAAAAGGTAAGTGACTGTAGAAGTCTCTGACCCTCATGCTTAATTTTCCCCCTTCTATTTAGTAGTTTGGGTAAGAATGGATTGTTTTTCCAACATCCTCCTGGGTGAGCTGTGATCTGCACGCATTCCTGTTCCACAGAGGCGATTCCTTTCATTCTGGCTTTGCTTGTTAGAGTCAAAGACCTTCACCGTGGAAGATGCCGTGGAGACCATCGGATTCGGACGTTTCCACATTGCCCTGTTTCTGATCATGGGCAGCACTGGGGTGAGTGCCCCTTGGAGGCTGTTCGAATCTCAGGTGGTGACTCATCATGAGCCATGTAGAACCTTCCACGGAGCTCCAGCTCTGGCGCGTCCATTCAGGGAGGGGCGTGAAAGGGAGCAGGAGCCCTGGGAGGCGGAAGACCTAGAAAATCATTTTCCATCAGCATTCTGGCAGGTGTTTGGTTTTGAGCAAATGAATATCTGTGTCTCTGTGTTCTGGGAATTCAACACTCATTTTTAAAAGTGGCTTAAATGGAGGTATGGGGAAGAGAGGTGACAACTCTGGTTCATTCTAAGTGACATTAGACACATGGTTCTCAAACATTGTATGCATAGGAATTTCCTGGGACACCTGTTGCAGTTCCAGATTTCTAGGTCGTTTGGCCCTGCTGGAGGCTTGTTATTTACCATCTGCTATTTTGAGAAAAAGAGTGACAGCTCAGCCTGAGGGCGTTCACACCAAGCGGAGGCGCACTGGAAACCGCGGCCGCGTCCTCCCTTTGTAGGTGGAGTGCGAACATGTGAAGAGCTCATAATATCAATTATTTTCCAATAAAATGTAATTTGATTTAAAAAGAAAAAGAACCCATGGCAAGGTGCATCATGTGATAATGAGACAGAATGGAAAAGCAGAGACAGGGGGTCAACACAACGATGATTAGTTTAGGTGCGACATAAAGGGAACCAAGAGGGAGGCCAGTAAGTAAATACTAGAGAGCCTGACCCTCACTGCTCAGCTAATGGTGGAAGAAGGGTGATTGATGTGAGCTGGAGGTAGCATGTGACAAGTTCTGGGGCATCTCTCAGAAGGCTTGTGCTCTCAGGAGGCAGTCTAGTATCCGAAGAGAGAGAGAGACAAGACACCCTAGTCCTACTTGTACAATAACCAGTAATGCGGTTTAGAACATTTCTTCATCTATGAGGTCTCACCACGCTCCAAAGTTTTAAGACCCCATATTTCCATGGACAAGTAGATGTTAATGGGTAGGGTTTTCATATATCTTTCTTCCACTTTTAACCAGACCATCTCCATTTCTGTTTTGCATATTTAGTTTCTAGCATGGTTTCATTTCTTGGTCCCCTTGGCTTAAGAAGCGTTAAACTCTCTGCATCTTTTGCCTTCAGATATGTTGGGAGCCTTGTCTTTTCTCCCGTAACAACCCTCTAGCAAGTAAAAAGAATATGTAGAAAGCTTTTAACCTGCCCAAATCAATCAAACCACCCGTATGAAGGAAGTACATCTCTCTTAGTTATTATCTGTGTTAGAAAGATGGGGCCTTTGTGCCCCCTTTCCAAAGGACAGTTATCACCCCTCTATAGGCAACCCAGATGTCCATCTCCATATCCACACCCATGGAGATTGTATGTCTATTGCATATTTAAACTTGATGTGGTTGCGAAACGTCCCTGGTCTTCTTTAAGTGTTTAAAGGCTGCTTCAATTTTTCCCAGTAAGGAAGGGCTGTTTACCAGGCCTCCCCCTCCCTATCTCACACACAGAGGGAAAGAGAACCATTCATTTGGGTGTGGTAACCAAATCCCTCCTTGGTTTCAAGGTGCTGCTTTGTGAACCAGGATCTTCTCATGAGAACTGATGTGTTGACGGTGATGAGCACAGCCCCTCCTGGGCTTGGCCTGCCCAGGCTCTTGAGGCATTTGCAGCAGTAGCTGGGTTTCAGGCTTTGTGTGCCCAGGACGTACAGCAGAGCAACTTCGGGTTGTGACCAGGACTCTAAGCCCTGGTCTTCTCTAAGGTCTCTCATGAGGTCTTCTAAGACCCTTTTTATGCCAGCTGTTTCTCTATGCCTCCCTCCTAAGCTCCTTTCCAATAAGGCTATTCTATCAGAGTGAGTGGAGCCTTATCTCTAAGACCCTTCAGAGGCATGGAGTTCTGATTGGTATTGACTCAACTGTTCTGTATTACTGAGGGAGGTGCGTTTAATAGCTCAAACATTTTTCTTAGGTCATCACATTATCTCTTATTTATGATACTACTTTCTGGGCTAAAACATACTAGCTATCTGAACTCTGAACATGACTATAATACTCTCTAAGGGGAGATAAGCCTTTATGGTATACTTTGCATTTCCACATCACTATACCTTTTTCAATCCATACCTTCAAGTCACACAAATGCAAATAGTACTATAATAAATACCCCATACAAATATCCTATTGTTCTTAACAGGACATGTCTCAAACAAATACATCATTTCCCCTTTTCCCTCCTGTCATCCTTATTCCTGTCACTGATGTCATTGCTCATCCCTGCCTCCAGGCACAACACCTCAGAATCATCTTTGACCCTTCCTTCTTTATCCTGTGTGAATTTCTATCATCTGTTTCTATTTATTCTTTCAGTTCTTTTCTAGTATCGACCTGTTCCTTTCCCTGGGACATAAACTCACCCTGTAATGGATTATGAGATGTGGACAGAGGATGCTATTTAAACTTTCTATTGAGAGATTTAGTAGCATATCTTATATTACATTTGATAAATAAGCATTCTTTCCTGGTGACAAAGTCATATTGTTTTGTACTTGTTACTTTAATTTTCTAGTTTTCATGAACCTTGCCTCCCCAGCCCAGCTTCTTGAGATCAAGGACTAGTTCAAAAATCCTTTTGCAAAGGGTGCCCTGAGATCTCCACAGTGGCGAGTATAAACAACAAAGCTAGAGAGATGTGGACACTGGGGGTTAGCTAGGTTCACTCACTAGCTGGTTGATTGCCCCCCACCCCACAACATCCGCATAGTGTTACATTGCAAATGTATGGATTAGTATCAACGTGAGTGAGCATGTGTCATGAATCTTTGGGGACACTCTCAAGTTGTTCAAACCATAAATGTTACATCCATGAAAGGCAACATTCTATACTTTATCCAACTAGCAGTGCAGAGAGGGTGCACAATAGGTGCTTCCTAAATGGGGGAGGGGAAGGAGGAAGTTACGGTTGGAAAGATGATGGACTGGCAGATGTGGGGAGAGGTGATGAGAAGCTAGCACTTAGTATGGTGTTTCCCCTCTTTTAAGGTTGCCGAGGCCATGGAGATCATGTTAATAGCGGTTGTGTCTCCTGTCATCCGCTGTGAATGGCATCTGGAGAACTGGCAGGTAGCATTAGTGACCACGGTAAGTGCCTGCTATCTGTGCTTTGAATGAGCTGACCGAGACCCCAGGCCTTCTGCTCCCCTTCCCCCATCCCATGGGCCGAGAGCCAAAGCAGATTCACCACTTGACGTGTGGGCTTCCAAAGCTCATGGGTTTGCAAGCCCAAACTGCCATTGGAAGCTTTCTTTCCCTTTCTCTTTTCCCACAGAGAGCACAACCTTGGACTGCTTATTTTCCAGCCCCCAGCAAGAACCTGGAAGAGATAAACGCAAAGCAGAGAATGTGACCCTGAAGTCATGGGTTAATTGTAGTTTAAGTCAGACTGCGGTTTAGTTGGCCTAGGGTGATTTAAGTGATCACCGGGGCACCCTCACGAATGGTACTGTGTCACACCTTCAACTGAACTCAGAGACATTTATTAATAGTCTTACGAGTTGTACACTCACCAAGTCTCACTCCAGTGTGGAATTAGGAGTATTAGCCATCATTCTTTCAAAAGGTGTTTATTAAGTACCAGTTAGTTGCCAGAGGACCATGTGTGTGCACGTATCCCAGAGGCAGTCCAAGCAGTTCCATGTTGCTCCACTAGAAAGGGAGGGCGAGGCAACCGCGGGCAAGGCTGCAGAGACGGGCATCCAGAAGCATGTCACTCTGTGGACTGTGGGCGGACCCCACGCTGTAGACCCCAGGAGTCCACTGCACCCCAGCTTGGGCCAAAGTGCAGAGACCCTCTAAGCAAAAAACAGTGCATACAAAGATATATGACAGCTTCTCAAATTACCGTTTTGTATAATAAAAATCAATTTTACCTCAACACATCACTGACTTCACAGTCATTATGTATTTCTCATTAGGTGGATATTAAAGTACACCTATCATGCAGAGCTCTGCTAAATCTGTTTTTTTTTTTTTTATCTTAAAAGGGGCTCTTCATTCATAAAAATTTTAGAGGCCACACTGTGGATGATGGGGAGGTGTTGAGGGGCTCTAAGGAGGGACATGGTTAGTTTTCCAAGAACCCTGAGGAGAGAGGGTTGGAGGGTAGATAGGCTGTGGTGGTGGTGAAGTGGCAGGGGGCGTGGAGTGTGTGTTCTGGAAGGGCTGACGTGGTCACATCTGCTGAGCAGGTCAGAGAAACACAAGGTGAGGGGCAGGGAGCCATCTGCTTAGGTATCAAGCTGGTTTTCATGAAGGCAGAACTTGCTAGAGAGAGGCCCAGACTAGTTTAGCAAAGAGGCAGCATTTCCCCATCTCCCAGGCTTCCCATCTCTCAATCCAATCCATTCTCCGGACATCCTGGCCTGAGCAGTTGTTAACTGAGAAAGCTTCAGAGCTATGAGTCAATCATGTCCCTACCATTTTGTGAGTAAGAGTTAATGCTGAAGAAACAAAACCTCATGCGGTGCATAAATCAGAAACAGAAGAGTCATTTTTTATTGAACAATAAGTGCCTGCAGAAAACAGGAGACCCTCCAAGGGAAGGGATGGAGAGAGGAGAGAGAGAGAGAGGGAGAGAGACAGAGACAGAGGGAGAGATAATATCTCTGTGCCTCTATGTGTTTCCCCAACAGGACTGGAGCTCACAAGCTTTGGGGTTCACGTGGGCTTTGGTTCAAGGTTTGTGCTCCAGACAGGCTTCATAGGAAGCAACTCGGTCTGAGGAAAGTCATTTCTTTACACTGATTGGAGAGAACACAGCAAAGAAACGTTTCGCACTTAGGGGGAAGAACAGAGTCAACTTGATATTTAATTTTATTTGACTATTTCTTTCATTAGTCAGCTAATTTAGTTTAATTCAGTTGCCATGTAGTCTATTAGCACAGTATCTCAATAAACAAAAGTATTTTCCATTGAAAGAACGAGTTTCCTCCCTGTCCCAGACAGTTTGTCTGTTGTCTTTTATTCAAGTCTGGTTAAAAAGAAGAAAACGTATTCACCTCTCCCTTCTTGGAGGGCATTTGATCATTTCTGATTCCACAATAGAAACTGTTAAATTTTAGAGGCACCCAAATTGTCAGATTCACCAACTGATAGGATTTTTTTCAAAAACTGAGTAGCTGACATAGGGTTGGCATTAAAAGATAGGTATTTGACAAGTAAGTCCATTAGAAGAAGGGAAAGAGGCAGAAAACCTTGCCACCCACAGCCACCAGCTTTTCAAAAAGGGAAGAGCACATTAATACCAACAATCAGAAAATTATTTCAGACTGAAAAGAGCCCTTCATATTAAATAACTCTAGAGTTATGCAGAATATATCACATTGTCCTTATTTTGTACTGTTTTGCTGAGGGCCGATTAGATTTCATTACAGTGCAGCATCTGTCCCAAGACTGAAATTTTGAACACACTGGCTTCCCCCTGCCGCCGCCAAGTCCTCCAGAGAATAGTGCCCGGAGGAAAAACATGGCTTTTGTCATTCAAGAAGAGACATGACGGTTTGTTTGTTTTTATAGTTCCCTGTGAAAGAAATGTGTTTGAGTCTTCCTTATGAAGAGTACAGAAGGGAGAGAAAAAAGGAGAAAGCAAAGCAGGGGGCAGAGAGAAACAGCTTTCTCATTGAAAAAGTGTTAGAAATGCATGCTGACGTCTTCCCTTTGATTCCTCTGGAAGCAGTCGGTCAGGGATCTTACCAGAAAGGAAAGCAGGTGAAGCTTGGAAGGGCTCAAAGGCAGAAAACGGTACAGACATCAGATTACAGCTCAGGCTGAGTTAAAATGCTGCTGTCATATGCAGATTCTTGACTTTTTATCAAGGTAGGATAAGCCACTGTGAGAGCAATTAAGGAAAAAGAGTAGGTTTATGTGACTTCGTAGAGTGTTTAGAAATGAATGATTGGTTTTGGTGTTTCACGTTTGTGTTTACATGTATACAGAAAAGAAGGCTGCTTCTAGAAGTCTCAACTTGTGTGTGGAATAAAGCAGAGCATGAATAAATACAGTTTTTTAAAAAAGTATTAAAATGGAAATTGACAATTACACATCAGGGTAGAGTGAGGCCAGTGCCATCATCTTGGATCAGAGGGAAAACTTACCTGCTCCTTCCACCGCGTCCCCACCAGGGGGCAGTGTCCCAGGTGCGGCGTCCGCCGAGGAGAGGCACAGGCCGCTGAGAGTCTGGCCGTGTTACCTGGGAGTCAGGGCAGAGCTGCATGAAAGCCCTTCACCCTCCACCGTTTCCAGGCTATTTTTAGTGAACTTGGATGAAGCTTAGTGCAGTAAGTTAGCATATTATAAAAACTCTGCTTAGAGGATAATTTCTTCTCACCCCACTCTAGATGGTGTTTTTCGGCTACATGGTATTCAGCATCCTTTTTGGCCTTCTGGCTGACAGATACGGCCGCTGGAAGGTAGGTTGGCCCTGCAGGAGGATTTGGAATTTTCTTCTGGGGCAATGTCACCACTGCCTCTCTTCAGTGGACATTTCCCTATCAATACCCCAGACAGGAAGTGTCCTCTGACATCACCTTCTTGAGCTCCAGGCATGTCTTCTTGCCTTCTCATCTTTTCCCAAAGTACCTGACCCACTGCCCAGGAGTGGAGGTGATGGATAGTTGTGCATAGATCAGATCAGAATGTGGGAATTTGCATGTAGAAACACAAGCAGCTTCCCATTTTACCTTTGGTATAGCTTTGAAACAAAGCCACTTGCTTGAGGTCACACACTTACAGAGCTTAACCGTCAAGATGTAAATCTGTCTCCTGATTACAAGCCCCGGATCTGTCTGCTTTTCCTGTCGGAGGTCTGGTGGGGAAAGCCTCTCGGAGCATAAACACAGAGGAGAAGCCCAAAGGAATACATTCCTGGAATTGGCTGTATATGTTTTGAAATACACAAAGTAAATATCATAGACATTTATAACCGGATAATGAAAACACAAGTATCTCAAAAATTTTTAAGGACTATAGGCATTTTACAGAAGAAATACAATCAAGAAACCTTAAAAAAAAGTTCAATCAAGGAGTCATCGAAAGTGAAATTACATAGTAAGATATATATTTTTTCTTTTTTTGTGTGCTTTTATTTTTTCCTTTTTAAAAAATTTTATTTTTTATTAAGGTATCATTGATATACACTCTTATGAAGGTTTCACAAGAAAAACAATGTGGTTATTACATTCACCCTTATTATCGAGTCCCCCTCATACTCCATTGTGTATTTTTTCTTATCCATTTCAAACATCAAATCCATGAGGAACTTTTCTTTTTCTTAGAGAAAACTGCAAGCGTATGGACACCCTCACAGATTATTGGTATAGTTTCTCTGGCCATCAGTCTGGCAGCATGAATCAAGAACCTTGAGAATATCCGTTCTAATCGTTGCAGAAATCTAGCCTACTCAGATCATCAAAGAGCCACAGAGATTTGTTCACAGACATTGTCTCAGCTAATTTTAATTGCCAAAGAATGTGAAGCCACCTCAGCGTTCAACAGCAGGGAAGGACAATGCATTGTGGTACATGTATTACAGTGGGTCTTTCCACTGGAATAGTTTGCAGTCAATTAAAAATATGTTTTCTCTTACAAACAGGGAAAAATGGGGTAAAATCCTATCCCATTTACTCTGATTTGGAGAATCAAGGAAGATTTAAATATTTAACTTTTGTTTTTCCTTCCATATCTTCTACTATGAACTTGTATTATTCTTATAATTAGAGAAAAAGCAAATACCTGAGATGGTCTCCTTATACCCATTCCAGCACAATGCTGCACGGCGCTCCTTCCGGCCGTCCCTGCGAGCGGGGAGGGCAAGCTTTTGCATTCTGATCTACATGTCCAGGTTCCTGCCTCCGGCTAGGGTGGACGCAGTTGGGTAGTTTTGAAGAATGGTCTGATCTTGGAGCATCTGGGCTTTCGGACCCTAGAACAGGAGGGGGCGTAGCATTTGATGATCTTGAGAGATCAGAGAGCTCGTGTTGTTCCTCAGCAAAGCAAACCTCAGAAGTTGTTTCCTCCCCGACCTTCCCCTGAGGGCAAGCCCATTAATAGGTCTCTTTTCGTTGCTTCAGATTTTGTTCATCTCGTTCCTGTGGGGAGCCTACTTCTCCTTGCTGACCTCTTTCTCCCCCTCGTACATCTGGTTCGTCTTCCTGCGGACGATGGTGGGCTGTGGCGTGTCTGGCCATGCACAAGGGTAAAGACTTCCCCTAGAGCAGCCTTGAGAGAGAGCTGTACATCCCCAGCTACTTAGACACATGCACACTGTGGATAATGGACTAATAGCGTCAATACGTTGCAGACTTACAGAGTTTGTTTCTGCTAATTATATTTTAGCTTTTTTTTTTTAAGTGATTGTTGCTTATTCTACTAGGAGCTGTTTGCTCATTAAAATGATGGTTGATGGTGAGGCTAGCCGAGTGCTAGACTGAGCATGTGTCAACTTTTTTTTGTCAAAGGCTGATTGCTATTTTTTAGATGAATAATAGTTTGTTAGGCTAAATGCTAACAATAAGTGTGCCATATGAGGTAGGTAACAAAAATGTCCACCCAAACACAGCCTATGATTGTTGGAATAGCTAAATTGAACATAAGCACCTTTAACATTTAGGAATAAGCGTTTGAAAGTGCCATTGCCCTGTACCTTAAGACTGTGCTGAAGTGAATGTGCGAAGCAGGGTGAGTTGGACTGGGAGATCTGCAGCTGCCTGTCTGTCTCCTGCCCTTCAGAAAGTGTGCAGCATCTTAGGGTGCATGTGTGTGAAGGGTGTTACACTAGATATTCAGCAACTTGGGAGCCTCCCTCAAGTTAACAGGTCCCCAGCCTCTTCTCTCCTGGGCAACCTGGAACAAGATACCCTTAGAATATATTAGGAGATGTCAAAGCACCCTATTATTACCTTAATATATAAAGGAAAGAACTGTCCTTTCCTGAGGCATAAATTAAGCACCACTCTGAGCTTTGGAGCTCTAGAGGAGTAGAAGTTAGGGAGAATTTTTAAACATCCCTCAGGAAGCAGCCCAGTCCGTGTGTTAAAGACTCCAAACTGGCTAATAATTTTGACAAAGATGAGCAATTGGAAAACTAAGGGAACACCATTCCATTCATGCCTCCATTTACAAAATTAATATGTACTTAGTTAGAAATCTGTGCTTTGACTGGCAGCATTAGTTGGGGAAACTATTGCTTTCTCTTGGGTGTATTTTAATTAATGTTTCGGAAGAGGGAATCAAGCTTGGCAAAACATTTTGCCAACATTTCTCTCAGCAAAAGAAATAAGGCTAGTATCTCATAAATGGTAGAAAGTTTAACTTTGTGAATAAAAATGCAAACAGAGGAATAGTTGTAAATTTATTTTTTACTGTTTTCTTATGTGGATTTTAGCTGTTAGCTAAATTATATTTTGGTGTTTAATTGTGTAGGAAGAACTCTCTTCTGTTTTCTTTTACTTATTAACACTCAATACTTCTGACAATCCTTCACTTCTGACGCCAAATGTTGTGGGGGTTTTATACACCAATTCTCCAACACCCTCTGGGTGTCCTAAAATTCAGTTCCATTCTCACCCTCACTGGAGTTAGTGCGGACACCGCAAGATTGGCTCCCGCTTCGGATGCCAAGGACAAGTGGTAGGTCCCCAGATGACCACAACTTCTGTCCAGCTTGCTACGGATTGAAAATTCCTGCAAACTCCTCCTTGCGGTCAATACTTTTCTAGAGGGGCTCATACAATCCAGGAAAACTGCTCACTTACTATTGCAGATTAGAAGGATATTTTAAAGGAAACATGAACAACCAGATGAAGAGATATACACAGGGCAAGGTCCAGAAGAGTCCGGAGAGCAGGAGCTACTGTCCCTGTGAGTTTGGGGTGCACCACCCTCCCGAAACGTGGAGAGGTTCACCAGCCTGGAAGCTCTCCAAACCCTGGATGGTAGGGATTTTTATAGAGGCTTCATCACATAGGCATGACTGATTGTCGACTCATTTTCCAGCCCCTCTTCCCTCTCCAGAAGGCTGAAAGTTCCACGATTCTAATCATGGCTTGGTCTTTGTAGACCAGCCCGGCTAGGAATTCACCAAGAGCCTCTTTATCAGAACAAATGATGCTTGCATCATCGGCCAGCAAACTCCAGGGGTTTTAGGAGCACTGTGTCAGGTACTGGGGTAAGATATCAGCGGGTATTAGCAGGAACCGAGGGCTGAGGACAATATATATATTTCATCATTTCACAGTGATGAACATCTATGTTTTTGAATTCTTTAACTCGGTGACAAAAGTTATGACTGTTAAAAAAAAGTTATTTGGTTTTATAGAAACAGAATTATTGAGTTTATCCCCTCTTTCTGTTTAGGCTAATCATAAAGACTGAATTTTTGCCTACAAAATATCGAGGCTTTATGCTTCCCTTGTCTCAGGTAAGGTAAAATAGGGATTCTAGCCAGTCTTCTGATTGTATAGGGAATGATTGATGCACATGGTTTTTCTCCTGGTCAGTTGATTGTTCTTTGATTAGCACACTGCCTGTTACTTGGCATCAGTCAAAGAACTCCGGGCATGCTTGATAAGAGGTCCAGTTCCCAGGTTTACTGAGCCAGAGCTTCTGTCATTCAACAGTAGCATTTCAAACACATACCCCTTCCTCAGGAACCAGGAAACATCCAAATGACTGGTTTCAGTGGAATAACAGAAGCCCGGTATGCATGTGGGGTGAGCTCTCTCTCCCCAGGAGGTTCTCACTGGAGGGACACAGCAACGACCCCTTGTAGGGCCTCCTTGTCCCCTCCAGGAATCCTAGCATCTGCAAGGCCATGAGTGGCCCATGTCTGGGGGAATGTGCCCTAGGTACCTCCTCCCAGCTGAGCTATATCCAGGTGAGAATATTGGGATGCTCCGAAGCCCTCCTCGGACCCCTGCTGGCCAGTGATCAGAGGTTTTGTATCCAGACATTACATCAATCTAGACACCCTTGTACCTTCTTTGATACCATCATTATCTAAAAGGCCTGACCTTCAGGGGACCCAGAAGAGATGATCCTTCCCCCTGAAGTGTTATATATTTGGCAATAAGTAAGGCAGCAAGAGACTCTCTCTAAATTAATTTTTAATTTTTCTGATACTAAATTTAGGCAACAAAAGAATTAGAACCAACAAACACCGAATGCTGTGTGCCTCCCAGCTTTCTCCTTCTGATCTTTGTTAAGATGGTTGCACATACTTTTAATACTTAGCATTTGGATTTTACACTTAACATTATTTAACAGGCATGGTCCTGGTGCAAGCTTCTCTGTGACTATTTTCTCTTCCATCTGCCGCTCAGCCCTTGGCATGCTTCCTGGTTATGTCTTCCCCTTGCTAGTCTCATTTTCCAGGTCTCCTAAGGCCATCTAATTTACTCCAAGGCTTTAGCTACCTATATGTATATGACTCCCCAAATTCTTTATCTACAACCAAGAGCACCTCCTTGAACTTCAGACACAGGTGGCCAGTAGACCATCTAATAGTCACTCGACTATCCTACAGGCTCCTCAAATACAACATGCATAGCCCTCATCTCTTCATCTTCCTCTGAAACCTCCTATTTCCATGTTTCCAGTCTCAGTTAATAGCAAACATTGTCCCTTTAGTCATCTGAGCCACAATCTCAGCCATCCCCCATGTAATCAGTCACCAAGCCCTTACTGATTCATCCTTTATTAATGGACCCTTAGCCTCCAAAATGTGCACCAAATCCATCAGTTTTTATACATTTTTTTTGGGGGGTCTTTTTACTGCTAAAATCCTTCTCAGGGCCACACCACCTGTTACCTGGTCTACTGCAATGGCTCATCACGGGCCTTCTTATTCATTGCCTCTTCAGAAAGGTTGTCCTTGATCACTCAAGTCCCTCTCCATCACAGCCCTTGGCACTTTCTCAAATCTTTTTTGGTTTGTAATGGACTTTTTCGTGATGAAATAATCACCCCAAAGGGTCTTTTATGATATTGTTTTCTCTACAACTCTGTGAAGTGGGATTAAGTTGCCATTTACCCTTCATTTTCCAATGGGGAAATAATACTCACACCAACACTTGAAATTATTCTAATTCCCAACTCATGGGTCCTGGCTGCCACCGCCTGCCTTCTTATTTGTTGATATAAAATGATCTCCAAGATACATTTTCATTATAAAAAGCAAAGTGTAGACCAATATTTATACTATGGTACCACTTATGAAAAAAGAGTGAATGTATTATTTATTCAAGGGAAAAAAATGTCAATGCCTTGGGTCCCAGATGTTTAAAACCTCAGCGACATTACCGACCCCATCTAGCTGAGTCTTCTATTTGTGGATAAGCAAACTGAGCCGCAGAGAAGGAAAGTGGTTTCCCCAGTTCACCCAGGCCCTGGAGGTAGTACTGCGGGGTAGAATCTGAACTGGCACCTTGATCAAAGACTCTCCCACCTCACCCTCTTATGCTGGGCAGACAGGCTCCCAGGAAAGAAAATGTCAAGCACATTTGTGAGGAATTCTCATCTTCCATCTCTCTCCCCAGGTTTTCTGGCTGGCTGGCTCTCTGCTTATCATCGGCCTGGCCTCAGTGGTCATTCCCACCATCGGGTGGCGATGGCTCATCCGCATCGCCTCCATCCCTGGTATCATCCTCATCCTGGCCTTCAAGGTGAGGATGCTCATGCGGCTCTGTCTTATCCTCCCCTCTAGCTGACCCTTCTGCCCCATGGATGATATTCCTCTGAATATTTAAGAATCTAGCCCAACCAAGTTTCCCTCCTCTACACTGAACAATGCCATTATCTTCACCTCTCTCATGACACCATTTTTTCTGGAGAAGCCCAGCTGGTCAGTGTCTTCTCTGGATCACCCGTCTCCCAGAATCACACAGAGGCCCCCAGGGGCCCTGGATGCAGTGGCTTGGTGGTTCTGTTCCTGCCCGGGAGCAGGCTGTTTACCTCTGTGATGTAGTCTAAGGGTGTGTGGCTTCTTAGCAGGCTTCGTCCCCCAGGTGGGTGCTGTTGGGCTTCAGATCTGTTCGACATGAATTGTTTCCAAGCCTAGACACCTAATTGGGTAGCTGATATGTTTTCGTAGGTATAATGTAGGACTCTACTTTCAAACACTCAGATTTCCTCTTCAGTGTCCCACCTTACCGAGGTTTGCTTCTAAGTAAGCGTGGTCTGCTGGCTCTGGACTTGGGCTGTCCACACCAGAGTCCTGGCTCCGCCGCCTGGGGCAAGTCATCCCACCCCTTTGTGCCTAATGAAGAGTATGTATCTCATTGGACTTTTGAGAGGATTAAACAAGATAAAGTGTAAAATTCCTTTCATGTAGTTCTTGCAACGTGAGCGGCGTTCAATGTGTTAGCTATGAAGTTCTGTTACTACTTTTTAAAAAATTATGTTGAATCTTGATCTTGTCATTTAATTCATCACATTCATATTGAGTACATGCCAGGCTCAGCACTAGGTTCCAAGGCTAAAAAGATGCATAAGACACAATGCATTGCCTCAAGGAGCTCCAGCCAGTCAGCGAGGGCTACATAGAAATGCAAAAGTATAGTTCTAACTGGACTTGGGAGGCGCTGTAACAGCTGATGTTCTGTGGCAGCCCTGAGGAGAGAGGATCTATGCTGGTGGGGTGGTGCTGTTGAATTTGGAACCATGGGATGGAACAGACTGCCTCAGGATGGCCAGAGAGCATGGAAAGGTGCTTTTCTGAGAAAGAGTCATTCACCTTTGGTCAGTGTGAGACCTGAGGGAAGGGTGCAGTCCCAGTGGATTCTCAAGGTGCCAGCTTCCATGGAGGCCTGTATTGTTTTCTGTGTATGGTGCTCAAAATAGTCATCAGTCAGTGGGCTGAGCACTGGACAATCAGGACTGTTCCCCACCTCCGTGGGTGCTAGAGGCCTCTGCTCTTGTTCCCTTTAGGTTGTTGAACTGTGGGGAGACCCCAGGGTTCCTGGGGTGACGGAGCAGTGGAGAGGCCTTGGGTGCCCTGTGGTGGCAGCTATTTGCCAATTGGATGTAAGGATTTTGCTGTGTTAACCAGTTGGTTGGGATGAACTGGTGCAAAGCTCAGAATCAGCCCGCCAGCATCCCAGATGGGACTATAATCAGGAGAACATGACCCTTTTTGTTCCAAATCCATTTGAAATGCAAGAGACGCCTGCTGTATTTTGTGCCTTTAAGCTCACTGCTCCTTTCCCATCTCGGGAAACTGGGACATTTGGTGTATGGGGCAACGAGAGCCACACCCCTGGGGGCCACAGCAGTTGCAACTCTGATGGTCTTTGTCATCTGTGCCAGTTTATTCCTGAATCTGCTCGCTTCAATGTCTCCACCGGGAACACTCAGGCTGCCCTGGCTACGCTGGAGCGCATCGCCAAAATGAACCGCTCTGTCCTGCCAGAGGGGAAGCTGGTGGAGCCCATCCTGGTGAGTTCCTGGCCGGGAGGTCCCCCGACCAAGGGCCGAGAGGAGAGGGAAGGGGACTTAGCTCTCTAGCCCAGCCCTTGGAGAGACTAGAGTAACCTGAGCAGAGTGAACGGGGACTAAATCCAGCTCCACAGCGAGCCGGTGGCCCTGGGTGTTACCGACCTTCACTTTCCTCATCAATGAAAGGGAACAATCCCTAGCTTGCAGCACTAGTTGTGTGATTTGGCATCATTGTTTAGAAGTGAGAGATGGCTTTATAATTTTATTTTCTTGTGCAGGTCTTGTCTTATTTTGATATCAAACTTATAAGCCTCATTGCATGATTTTTTTTTTTGACACGGCATCTCTCATTTATTGATCAAATGGTTGTTAACAACAATAAAATTCTGTATAGGGGACTCAATGCACAATCATTAATCAACCCCAAGCCTAATTTTCAACAGTCTCCAATCTTCTGAAGCATAACGAACAAGTTCTTACCTGGTGAACAGTGCAAGGGCAGTCCTATCACAGAAACTTTTGGTTTTGATCACACATCATGAACTATAAACAATCAAGTCAGATATTATTATTCATTTGATTTTTATACTTGATTTATATGTGAATCCCACATTTCTCCCCCCTTTTTTTTTTAATAAAATGCTGAAGTGGTAGGTAGGTGCAAGATAAAGGTAGAAAACTTTGTTTAGTGCTGTAAGAGGGCAAATGTAGATGATCAGGTCTGTGCCTATGGACTAAGTATTAATCCAAGCTAGACAAGGGCAACAAAACATCCACGGATGCAGAAGATTTCTCTCAAAACAGGGGGGGTGAGGTTCTAAGCCTCACCTCTGTTGATCCCCAATTTCTCACCTGATGGCCCCCCTGCGACTGTGCCTGTCTTAGGTTGTTCCTCCCTTGAGGAATCTTACCCGTCTCTGGCTAACCAGTCATCTTCCGGGGCCATACAGGGAAATGTAAAGTTGGTAAGTGAGAGAGAAGCAATATTCTTTGAAAAGGTTAGCTTTTTATTTCTTTGCAGATTTATGCCCTGTGTGCATGATTTTTTAAAACAAAATTTGGCATCCTAATTCTAAGCATTCCAGGATTCTCAATATGCAGTCAATATGCAGTCGTTTCTCACACCAGCTCAGAGCACCCCTGGCGGGTGGGTCAGCTGCAGGCTCCTGGGAGAGTCCCCCCAGCACTGCCTTCCTCACCTGCCCCACCACCTCGGCAGCAGTTTATGTAAGTTAGGCATCAACCTCTTTGAATGCTTGGTAAGACTTGCCTATAAAGTAGTTCATGTCTATGTTTATTTTGACTTGCCTATAAAGTAGTTCATTTGAGATGAGTAGTGGGGGGATTTTTTAGGGGGTGGTAGAGAGAGGAGCTTTGAAAATTATGATTCAATTTATGTAAAGGTTAGAGGCTACCTCTGTTTAATACTTTTGGTTGAATCAATTTTGGTAATGTATATATTTTAGAAAATTTCCCAATTCATTTAGGTTTCCACATTTATTGATATAAAATTGTCCCCAGTGTTCTCTTATGAGTTTCAAAAATCTGAGTGTGTCTCCTTTATCATTTTTAGTGTTGTTTTTTTGTGCTTTCTCTCTTTTCTCTTGGTCCTCTTCCTAGAGGTTTGTCCATTTTATTAAACTTCAAGAACAGGTTTTTTTGTTGTTCTCTTTATTGATGTTTTTGGTGGTTTCATGAATTTCTATTCTTTCTTTCTTTCTTTATTGCCTTTTGATGCTCTCCTAGCTTTTTGAGTTCAGTATTTAGCTCATTTATTTTCTGTCTTTTTTATTTTTAGTAAACCATTTAGCTGCATCCAGCAAGTTTGGTTACTGAGTAATTTTATTTTCATTTCAATTTTGTAACTGTTATGAGTTTCTCTTTAACCAAGAATTATCTGTTAAATTGTTTCTAATTAATCGCCTTTTGGTCAGAAGATGTTATTGTTTGAAATTTATTGAGACTTATCTTTTGTTCTGTGTATAGTCTTTTTATTAATGTGCCATTTGTCCTTTAAAAAATGTGTGTGTCTGTTATATAGTTACATATTGTTCATTGTGCCATGTAAATATCTGATACTTGTTCTAGAGTTTGCCTGGTTGCACTAACAGGTTTTCCACAAGGTGATGGTTTTGTTCATTTCTACTATAGGCCTAACAGTTCATATATTTTGAGGATATCTCACTGCATCCTAGCATATGATTGACTTATGCAGTGTGTAGATTCATCTTATTATTTGAAGTATTTCTTTATCTTTATACTGCTTTGGGCCTTAAGTTTATTTTCTCTCATATTAATATATTAAACTAGCTATGTAGTGTTTTCCTTTATGTGTCTTTTTCCAGGCCTTCATTTTTAGCCTTTCTGTTGTGCTTTGCTACATATATATATACATATATATATGTGTGTGTGTGTGTGTGTGTATATATATATATGTATGTGTATATATATATATGTATGTATATATATATATATATGATCTTTACTTTTTCATTCAATCTGATATTCTATGTCTTTTAATAATGAGTTTGATCCATTTACACCAATTACAATTGTGATTACTAATATATTCAGGCTTACTCCTGTCATTTTACCTTTTATTTTCTCTTAACTGTGTCTTTCCTTTTCTCCTTTCCTACCAGCTATTAGATTGATTAGGTTTGCTTTTTCCTGTATGTTTTGTTCCTTCTACTGCCTTGGAATTTATGCAGTCTCTTTATTTTATTATAGAGGTAGTCCTTAAATATTGAAAACATGCACCTACCATAGCTAATGCTGTTTGGTATCTCTATCCATCTTCTGAACAACACACGGACTTTAAAGACGTTAATTCTGTCCCAATCTCATCTTCCAAATCATTTTTGTCTGGTATTTTAGCTTCATGTTGTTCGTAAGTTTTCCTAAATTAGGTCTGTTATTTTAAAATCCAGGATCTATTTAGATTTTTGACATTTTTACTACTGTCTTTCTTTTGGTTTCTGACTTGATTTTTACAACCACATTATTTTTTTCCTCTCCTATCTACTGGATTAATTTGGTTTCATCCTTAATATATAAATATTGGCTCTCTCTGGGTTTAATTGGGTATAAGAACATGGTAGAGATCTAGCTCTGTTGTATCCAAATGGCTAACTACCCAGTTGCACTCATATATTTTCATTGAATAATCCATCCCTTGTATACTTTAATCTATTTTTGAATACTCTTTTATGTTCTGATGATAGATTTGTAGATCAAGTATATATGGGGATTTAAATTATACAATAAAGAGGGCATTTCATGTTGTTGGGGAAAGTCTACAGGTTAACTGTTGGCCCAATGTGACACTGTTTACCCAATGTGACACTGTTTGAATTACAGTATTGTGCAATACGCTTTTCATATCTAGTAGAGTAAGTCTCCCTGGTCAAAGTTCTTTTTCAGAATTTCCCATTGCTATTTTCTCAGTCCTTTTTTTTAGAACAACTTTGAAGTTACTTTGTCAAGATCTTCTCCCAATTTCCCCCAAAACCTGTAAGACTTTAATTGGGATTGTGTTGAAGTTATAGATTCATATACTGAGAATTGGCACTTTCATAATACTGAGTATTCCTGTTCTGATACAAGTATATTTCCCCACTTATTCAAGTCTTTTTATATTCTTCAGCATTTTATAGCTGCTTATTTACTTCTTGTATGTTTCTTATAAAATGTATCCCTATCTATTTTATGTTTTTAAAATAGATTTTCTAAATGGAATTTCTAAAGTTATCTTTTTATCTGGTCCGTCCTTCCTATTTCCTGTGCTGTGTGGCTCATTTATTTTTGCAATTGTCCTCTGAAATATTTTTATAGGTTCATAACCCTCTTATCAACAGTACATGCCAATTTCTTGCTCTCTAAGTAGCACCTACACTAATAAGATGCTTTGTGAACCTGCTGAAGAAGACATTTGTTTGGGGAGCAGCAGGACACACCCTCAGCATGAACCTTGAGCACATCTGGGAATGCGGAGATCCAGACCAGCTTCAGGACTTGACCTCTGCCGAAGGGGCCAGTTCCGCCCCCATTCGAGTCCCCTATCTTTATCTCCCCATAGGGTATTGATACTTGGAATTGATAAGAATGTAAATCTCACATTTACCATGCTTAAAACTCCATTTCTTCCTCCGACCAGCTCTTTCCCCTGCTTTCCTGTCCACTCTTCCTCCTTTATTATTCTGATAAAATACACATAACATAAAACTTACCATTTTAACCATTTTTAAGTATAGAATTCAGTGGCATTAAATGCATTTGGAACTTTCTCATCATCCCCAACAGATACTCTATACCAATAAGGCAATACCTCCTCATGCCTACCCACCTCCAGCCCTTGGTAATTCCTACTTTCTGTGTATGAATTTGCCTATTCTAGGTAAATTGCAGATAAGAGGGATCATACAGTATTGTGTCTAGCTTATTTCATGTCATATCCCCAAAGAGGTCTTAGTTAAAACATGCCAGTTCTTACCAGGGCTGGCATGGCTGTGGAAGAACCTGTTCTTTTTTTTTTTTTTTAATCCCTCTCTCCCAGCTTTATTGAGATATAATTGATATACAACACTGTGTAAGTTTAAGGTGTGCAGGTGTTGATTTGATACACTTACAGTATTGCAAAATGATTACCAACATAGTGTTAGTTAATACCTCCATCATGTCACAAATCCATTTCTTTTTTGGCAAGAACATTTTAGATCTATTCTCTTAACTACTTCAAATATATAATACAGTATTGTTACTGTACTGATTTTGGGGGTCTCAGTTCCCATAGCAACCGCCCTCCCTCCTCCACTCGTCTGCATTCTCCACCTTCCCTCTCACACCCTTCTCTTCTTCCTCCCTCATCGTCGGGCTTTCCTTTTCTTGCCAGCTTACAGCCTCCACCCATCATGCCTATGAAATGATCTTGTCCTTCTCCAAGGTCACCAATCAGCCAAGGCCCTGGAGATGCAGAGCTACAAGTAATAACCCCGCCTTCGGGTCTTACAATCCGGTTAGTGAGCTTAGGCCCACATAACAAAGAATCAGTAACAAACAGCCCAGATGCGCAGAGCCAGGACAGCGGCGCCAACAGCATACGTATAGGATCAGAGCAGAGGGCCGTAGGAGCCTCCTTCAGGGGGTTAGCAGGGCAGAAACTGAACACTGAAAGGAGAGGCAGTGTCAGGGGGGAAGAGGCCACGGTGAGCCAGGGCGATAGTGTGAGTGGAGACAAGAGCAGGGCTGTGTGCTCAGTTTGGTCTCACTGGCTGCCGTGGAGGGGCAGAGTGCCTCATGGAGGCTGGCCAAGATGCCCAGAGGCAGCTTCACTCCTGATGCAGAGACCGAAGGCATTTGGGGGACTGGCTGAGGAAGGGCCACACCATAGACGAGGGGAATGAGTCCACCAGTTTGGATTGTGGACAGCCAAACACCAAAGGTTTACAACCAGAGGGTAAAATTTGTGATTCATTATGATTGACTGCAGCCTGAGCTTTCTGAATCTCTAGTGACATTTGGAGAGAGGAGGAGACCATAGTCACATGTGAACTCAAAGGGGCATGGCAGAGAGGTGAGGGGCAAGTCTCAGGGCTGGTGACCAGAAGACCAGGACTCTAGACTGGCTCTGCCTCTGAAAGGCTGTGTGACCTTGGACAAGTCACTTACCCTCTCTGTGTGAAAAAAAAACAGGAGGCTAGGACTAGCTCAGAGGTTTTCAAATGATGAACAGCCAGATCCCCAACATGTAAAGCAGATGAAAGGGGAGTGTCAGTTGCTCCCCTCCACCCACAGTGACCTCAAAGAGCTAAGCCTAAAAGTCACTGAGCACAAGACCTCTAAGGTCCACTTAAACGTGAACTTTCTGTGACCACAAAATCTGGACCACTGAGGGCCACACTCCTGGTCTCTCTAGAGGGGCCTGTGATCCCGGGTCAGTTTGTGAGAAAAGAGCAATTGGTTTTCACCTGAGCCTGCCCTGAAGTGTTTCTAGACTTATATAAGAATCTATTATTACCCAATCTTGTATGACCCATCCCCCATCCTCACTTGTTTATATCCAAAAAGTATTTAATAAGCCTGACTATAGATAGAACTTTTTTTTCCTCCCCAAAGGACAGAAGTTTTGCTAATTACCCTGAAGATATAAAAAGCCATGGAGCATTTTATCATCTTTCCAAATTTATGCCTTTTCTCTTTTCATACACAAGCAATGCACCCTCTTTAAATATTAGGTCTTTCACTTTAATGTTAAAGTCCAAAGAATCTGCCATCAGCTTTATGGTTACCTGTCAGGAACCCTCCTGTTTTCCATATTCCACCCCACTGATGCTGGCACTGGTGAGGAGAGGGTGTGTGAAAGGATTAGAATCTTCAATTCAGGGGGTTTCCATCCTTGCCAGTGACAACGAAAGGCGCACAAAGACGGGCGAGCTGGGATGAAGGTTGCAGTTATTGTGGGGTGGGCTGAGGTGTACTCATGGGGGCTGTGCTGCCCCACTTTCCCATGCTGTTCTTCTGTTATCTAAAATATTAGAGACGCTTTCACCACTGAATCTATCCTGCCTCTCCCTTTTCACTACCCCAGGAAAAAAGAGGAAGATTTGCAGACCTGTTGGATGCTAAATATTTGCGGACCACATTACAGATCTGGGTCATATGGTAAGAATGTAATTATTTCAAAACAAGTTTTAAGTAAACAAGCATTTGGAGAAAGCCTCTGAAAGTAAACACACTCTGAGTACTCCTGGGGAGAGAAGCACAGAGCCAACTCCAGCATGTCTTATTTTTCTTCTACTACCGCCAACCAGCCAACCGACAAACCAATAGACAAATACATATAATTTTTTAAAAGGAGAAAGAAGTTGTCTACAACTAGTTTTTTATTTTTCATATGAGCTCACTTTCTAACCTTCTGTGGCCTGGTCATTTTTGTTGCCACATGACAGAACCTGATCTTTTGAAGTTAGCGCCAGTAATCAAGTCAATGTAATGGACGCTGGTGGTCCTCTCTGTGCTCCATTTCTCTGCAGCCATCACCTTGAATAAGCAAAGATTTTCTAAACAAGACATAAAAAGTGCCAAGTATAAAGGAAAAGATTGATGAGTTTGAATATATTAAATTAGGAACTATGTCCCATGAGCTGGCAGGAAGGGTCTGAAAGGTAAGCCATCAACTGGGAGAAGACAGTTCCAATAAATATATCCAACAATTTATATAATAAAATACATTTTTTTCAACACGAAAAAGATGCACAACCCAGTAGAGAAATAGACAAGAGACTTGAACAGGCACTTGACCAAAAATGTATAACAAATAAACATGAAAACATGCTCAACCTTAAAGTCACCAGGGAAATGCAAACTAAAACTAAAGAAGACACCATTACAAATCCACCCGAATGGCTAAAACTAAGAAGACTAACTATATCAAGTTAGGAAGGATGCAAAGTAACAAATTTGCATACACTGCTGATTGGAGATCAAATTGTACAAACACTTCGGAAAACTATTTAGCGATGCCTAATTATGGTTGAAAATATGCATATTGTTTGGTTCAGCAATTCCACTCTGAGGTTTATATCCAATAGAAATGCACACATGTTTACAAAGGCATTTACATGAAAGTCCATAGTATTATTTTCTTTGTATCAGCTCCAAAAATACAAACAACCCAGAAGTCTACCAACTGTTTATTGGTTGTGTTATGTTCATAAAGTAGAATACTATACAACAATGAAAAAGAAAACTAGTGCTCTACATGCTACATGGCTGAATCTTACAAATATAATTATGAGCAAAGGAAGTCAGACATACAGAATACATATTATGTGATTCTAGTTATGTAAAGATAGAAAATATGCAAAATCATAATGTTTTAATTCAGGAAAGTAGTTGCCTTTCCCAGATATAGTCACTGTTAATAGGTTGGTATGTCTCCTCTTGAGACTTTAAAAACATACATAATATTGGAAATAAAATAAACTAAAGCTAATAACAAGAGGAGGTATTGTGATTGTTTTCTTTTTAAATATTTCATTTTGCAAACTTCCAAAGGCACATGAAAGTAGAGAGGATACCATGGTAAACTGTTTTACTCATCACCCCCACCTGATAATGGTTGATATTCACTCATATTTGCTTCAGCTGTGTTTTCCTGGGTCAGACTATTTCCAGGCAAGTCCCAGGCCTCCTTCATGTTGTTTCATCCCCAGATACTTCACTGAGGAAGAGCCTCAACTACTTGAGGACATTGTCTTAGCTGAGTCCAATCCCATCATCACACCGACAAGACTAACAATCATCACGTTAATATCATCCAATACCCAGAACATACGTGATTTCCCAATTGTCCAGGTGTCTTTTACAGCTGGCTTTTGCAACTATTTCTGCAAAACAGAGAAGCCCCAGGGGAGCTGCTGGGAGGCTGATATTATTCTTTTTCTTGACTTTGTTATATAAACTTTTCTGTATATTGTTATTATATTTCAACAAAAATATCTATTAAAGAATAGGCAGGGGGAACAAGGGGAGAAAATATAAAGCAAAAGCAAAAACCTGTGTCTCCTCATGGTCTGCTGAAGACATTTTGTGATAGGCAGAAATCTAAAGATTCCCAACCCTCCAGATTCCCAACGCATATTGATTCAACCAAACACCAATTGGGGTGCTGATGTGAAGGGCCTGTGTAGCTATAAAAAAGTTACAGGCCTTAAAATAGGGAGGGCATCCTGGATGGAACAGGTGGGGCCAATCTAATCACTTGAGTCTTTAAAACTAGAGAAATTTTTCCAGTGGGAATCAGAAAGATGGAGCTGAAGAGAAAGCGTGAGACAAGGGAGAAGGGGAGATGGGGCCGAAGCACGAACACTCGCCCCACTGCAGGTGGCTTTAAAGGCAGGGAATGACGGGAGCCTGTAGAGGCGGGGTTCAACGGGTCAGCAGCCAACGAGAAGTGAGAGCAGTTCTACAGCCTCATGGAGCTGAATGTGCCAACCCTCTGGGTGAGCCTGGAAACGGATTCTCTCCACCAGAAATGCTTGAGGTCCTGTCCTGTGCTTTCAATTTCTGCTTTGTGAGACTCGGAGCGCAGAAAGCAGCCAGACCTACAGGACTTCTCACCTGCAGAACTGTGAGATAATAAATGTGTGTTGTTCAAAGCCACCAAGTTTCGGCTAACTTGTTATAGCAGGGGTAGGAAACAAGCCCACACTTGAACCTCCTCCTGGCTGAGGGGTCCTCCACGCCCCGTCCTGCTCTTGCAGATGGATTGCCCACCGCCTAACCTCCGGGAAGGCCACCCTGCAGTCTCCCCGTGTGTGACCCGCCCCCTTCCGGTCCCAGGCAAGGGGCCTGCACCTGGGACGCGCCGCCCCGCTGAGGCCCGGAGACAGCTTTTCCTAACGCCATTGTTTTCTCGCTTGCAGGCTGGGGATCTCTTTCGCCTACTACGGGGTCATCCTGGCCAGCGCGGAGCTGCTGGAGCGGGACTTGGTCTGTGGTTCGCGGGCTGAGTCCGCGGCGGCAGTGACCGCGGAGGCCGCCGGGGGGAGCCAGAGCCCCTGCTACTGCCACCTGTTCGCCCCCTCCGACTACAGGACCATGATCATCAGCACCGTGGGCGAGATCGCTCGTAACCGTCTCTCTCTGTCGGGTCCCTCTCTGGGGTGGGGAGCCAGCAACTCGGAGCTTCGGGGGAGGGAAGTGCGACCCTGTCATAGACGGGGTCTTGCCCGGTAGAAGTGAACACGTCCCCCAATCCTGCTGCCATGTGTCCGATGGATTGGTGTGAGGAGGAGAAATCTGGAGGACAGCTTTGAATTCCTACGTTGTATCAATTCTAAGATGCATTGTTTTTTTCACGTCCCAACGTTTCTGCAATTGGGATGTGTCTTACAATGGCTTGCTGGATTTCAATTTGAAGCACTTTCTGTTTTAGTGGACATAAAATAATGGTACTTAAAATTAAGGCACCTTGAACTTGATGAAAAACAGTATTAAACAATTAAAATGTAGGTCTAGCAAGCTGGCAATTTGCAGTAAACCTAGATGATACAATGAACATCTTGGGCATAAATATCCTTTATATGCACCAGTGCTTGCCGTTCTTGGACCCACGAGGGGACAGTGCACTGAAGCAGTCGTGAAGTTGATGGCAGTGTGACTGGGCTGAGCTCGAATATGCATGAGGTTTGGATGAAGAGGCTTCTTTCTGAAATGACAATGAGGAATCCGTGCCAGTGGTGATAAATGCCACTTGCTTTCAGGGTTCCAGCAGCTGTCTTTGTCCTTTGCTTTCTAGTGAATCCTTTAAATATCCTGGGCATCAATTTCCTGGGCAGACGGCTGAGCCTTTCTATTACCATGGCAAGCACGGCTTTATTCTTCCTTCTCCTCAATATTTGCACTTCAAGGTATTTTCTCTCTAGTTGCTTTGAAACAATCTAGTTTTGTGCGGTGGTTTTTAAAACACGGTTTCCTGACCCAGAGTGTGCAGCGGGTGTTGGGGGCAAGCCCCTTTCCCCGGGAGAGCAGAGAGCGGGCTGGCGTTTGGCTAGAACCACCTTGCCTGGTACCTGCCGCACCGTCTTCCGCTGACCCGGCCCCTCCCCGGCTGTCACGGGATATGGGTGCCCCTGTTGCTGTACTCACTTCCCCCACCAGGATATTTAGGATCTTTCCACAAAGCTACCTGGAGAATTAGGACTCAAGAATTATCTGGACCATTGTCAAGATAGTTTAGTGATATAGACACCTGTGGTGTCAGAATTCATTTCACTCTTAAATTTGCAACCCCAGAGTGGCTTCAGTTATGTATCACTCGGGGGACAAAGGGTGAAAGGTGGGCTAATCTGGGGCCGGACTGGCACGGGCCCTTGGGGGAGTTGGAGGCCAGGGAATAGGATGGAAGGTTTGAGTCGGACATTTACAGTCCGGGCAGTTGACAGCAGTGCCTCCCGGGGCCTGGCTCACTGGGGGTGGGCGTTAGCGTCTGGAACGCGCTTGGTCAGGGCCATTGGAGGCTGCCCGTGTGGCCTTCACACTCCCCTCCCTTCGTGCTCCGTAGCGCCGGCCTGATAGGCTTCCTCTTCGTGCTGCGGGCTCTGGTGGCAGCCAACTTCAACACCATCTACATTTACACCGCGGAGGTCAGTTCTGGGAAGGGCTTGGTTATATCAAGGTGTGCAAGGGGCACCACTTCAGGTGTCCATGCATAGATAAGGCCTCCCTGGCTTCTGCTGACTTCTGACAATCTGCTGAAAACATCCCGTTAAAATGACTCCGGGAGGTTTGTCCTGATAGGGAGTTTCCTCTTCCTCAGTGAGCCCAGTGAAAGCCCGTCTCTGAGAGGAAAGAGTGGCCCTTTCTCACCAAACAGCATGCATGTCAAGAGCAACCCATTGCCCTGGCATCACGCTTCCAGAAGAAACAGGCCGGGAACAGCGCGTCGCTGTTAAAATGTAAAACTCCTTACTTTCCTTTTTCAAGTTAGAATGTATTTTTTCACCTTTATTCTTTTGAAACATCATTTCCCCCTCCATCTGTTATTTGCCACATGTAGCTTAAATTTGAATATAATGATGCATTCTTCATTAATGTATGTATTGAATTAATACATCTATATGCAAGGTACTACCTGAAGGAGCTTAAAGGATTTCCTCCAACGCCCACTTTAAAGACCTAATATTTCTAGAAATGAATATCTGAATAATAGGAAACTTAGTAGTATTTTAACTGGTTTTGTCATTCACTGAGCTGGGGAAGATGGAAAGAGAGGGAAATGTGGAAGTCTGTGCCGATTATAGATACGGCATGTCAAAACGGTTAAAGCCTCAGAGAAAAATACCCCCTACACAGTTTACAAATAGGAAATGATGACATATTTGACATACTATTATGTTCCATTAACAAAGTCTTTTGAAACTATTTTGTGAATTTATAAGCCTAAAACATCTATGTGTAATATGGGGTGCCGCTTAAGTTCTGTTTGGAATATCCCATTTAGCGTATTTTGGAATGTTCATTTAATGGGTCATTTCTGAGTATTTTCTCTGATATTTATTGTTTTAAAGAAAACACAAGGATGTGTACCTAAAGGTGGTCATTTTTATTCCACTTCCCAGAATTGTCAAAACATAAAAGACTTTTATTGATACTAGAGTAAAGAAAAGAACATCACTGTGTTTCGGAATCCATTCTTTTTGGTTATGGCCAGAAGCCTCATTTTTCAGGGAAAGGAAAAAGCCTCCTTGAAAAGGCCCACGGCCCCCAGCTCTTCTCACAAATACAGGGGCGGCCACTGAGGCAGGAAAGCATCTTGCCTTTGCATTTGACCAATGGCGCCTAACAAGACGTGACCAAGTAAAGGCTACGTGCTTTGCTTTAGTGAATTGCTTAAAAACTGTTTTATTGGTATTACACAGCATCAAGAGAAAATTCTCTAGATTTATGAAAAACCATTCTTTCAATATGAAATAGTCTCCGTTCAATCTTTATTGATAGTATTTGCTTACTTATTAAACTTCTGAAGGTTCCTACAAGAATTCTAAATGAATGGAGTACAGATTAATGAGGTTTTACTATAAATCTAAGAAAGTGGCAGCCAGAAAGTAGATTATACCATAGGATGTTGCAGTGAGGACACAGCCAATGGTGTAGCATGTGCCTTGTGTGCTAGTGAGTGATTTACACTGTATGTGTGTTAAAGATCAGCGTTATTTAGGGAGTACTTCCTTCCCTTTCAATGGAACCACCCTGATACAGTTATAGCCTTCAAGTGAACATCTTTCATCTGATTCCAGAACTTATCTTTCTAAAAGTATACTTGGAATATTCAATTAAACAGATATTTTTGAATTTGGTTACTGAAAGGATAATTTCTAAGTGTTTTTTTTCTAATAGTCATTACTTAGAAATTCAAAGTTGTATACTGAGAAAATGAACATCTCCTATTGTGTTTCCTGTACCCCGGTATAATCATCGTTATTTTATGTGAGCGGAAGCCTGGCCTGGGGTGGGGAGGCCCAAGGACAAGGCGGAAGAGGCCTAACTACGGGTGCTTCCTCCCCTCAGGTCTACCCTACGACGATGCGAGCTTTGGGGATGGGGACCAGCGGCTCCCTGTGTCGCATTGGTGCAATGGTGGCACCCTTTATATCCCAGGTATGGCCCCGGAGTCTCAGCTGGCAGGATGAGTCTCAAGGAGGTGGAGAAAGAGGGACCTGGTCCTTTCAGGCTCAGGGTGTAAGCAAGGGGTTCTGCTTGCTTCGTGTTCTGGAGGTACAGAACTGGGGGAACTGGGGTGGTGAAAGAAGCTAAATGATGCAGCTGGCACAAGGGCCTGGGGATGGGACAGAAATTGGTATGTTCTGGGAACAGAAAAGAGGTTTGGTGAGCAAAATGAAGGGAATGTGCCTTGTAGGCCTTTTGAGGACTTAGGAGCAATGGGTAATAATTGAAGTGTTTTAAGCCGCTGGCATGACCTCTTATAGTATAAACATACAGGAAAAGCCTACATAAACATTTTAAATTTCTGCACAGAAAAAAATACCCTACCATAGATAAGGATGAAAGACAGACTTTTATCTATAAAGGGTCTCAAAAAACCCTAACTGAATTGTTGCAGCTGAGCAATGATTTTGTCCTGTCAAATACCTGACGTTTTCCAGAAACACGGAAGCCCAGTGACTCAAAACAAAAGATGGCACACAGAACTTCACAAGGAAATGGGAATGGGAAGTACACCCATTTCTTATTTTCACAAATGATTTCTAGTGAGCAGTAAGCTTAATGAGAAGCTGTGTGCTGTCAAAGATCAACAAAACTGCACACTCGTTAAAGTGGTTAGGACAAATTTTAATCAGTAACAACTCTTGCAATAGGGAAAGTCCTGTAGGAACTGAATTCAACTGATTTATATGGAGGTGACTGGGCATTTTAAAGGGAGAATGAGGGACTAGGATGAGCAGAGTCTCAGAGCCAGGGAATGGAACAACTGCAAAAACCAGGACGGGGGATGGTTCACGTGAAACCCAGATGGGCCATTTCTTTCCGTGTCAACTGGAGCAAACAGGGAATGTTTTGGTAGCCTTGGGTTTCCTCCTGTAAGGAGACTAGGGTCATCCTGGGGTTGCAGCCTTGAGTGGTGATGAGACTTCATGTGTGTTCCCATTTTTACAGACCAAGGTTGAGGCCTCGGCAAGAAGAGGCTCAGAGGTGCCTGGCTAGAGTTTGGTTAAGGAGAGTGCCTTTGTCAGTGTTAAATTTGGCCCATAGATATGTTTGTTTGTTGTATTTTCAGTGATTTAAGAGATGCCCAAAGGCAATTTTGACCACACGTGATTTTTTTTTTCTTCCACAATGGAAACATAAAAAACTACAAACTAGAACTAAAATGTTGCACCTAATATTTTGCTAGAGATAACAAATATAAATAGATATTGAAAGAGCTTCGTTAACATAAGTATATGTACATACTTACATATCTTACCCAAATGTGATCACAGGTCATATAGTTTTTAAAAGTGAGGTATCATTGTTTCAGGTGTACAACACGATTCAGTATATGTACATATTGTGAATTGATCACTGCAAGAAATCTAACATCCATCTTCACACATAGTTACAAATTTTTCTTGTGAATGAGAATCATAAGATTTACCCTCTTAACAACTTTCAGTTATGCAATACAGTATTATTAACTATAGTCACCATGCTCTCCATGTATCCCCATGACTTATTTATTTTATGACTGGAATTATGTACCTTTTGACCCCTTTACCCATTTTTCCCACCACTAGCCACCATCAATGTTCTCTGTACCTGTGGGTCATTTCCGCCCTCCCTCCCTCCCTTCCTTCCTTCCTCTTTGCTCCTGGCTCTTTGCTGCTGGGCCCTGTGGTATAGCTGGTTAAGAACACTTTCTCTGTTTGTTACAATTGTGTGGAACCCGTGAATGTAAGCCCTGCTGGCCACCAAAGCCAGGTGCTCAAGGGGGTGTCCCCTGGGTTTTTAGCCATAAAACCTCCAGATGTGTGCACAGTCCTTTCTGGGGGATGGATTTCATCTAGCATAATGGTCTGTCCATGCTGCCACAAGCGCTAGGATTTCAGTCTTTTTTATGGCTGGGTAACGCATATCACTTTCCTTCATCTATTCATCCATCAGTGGGCACTACTGTTGCTTCCGTGTCTTGGCTATTGTACATAATGCTGCAGTGACCTTGAGAGTGTGTTTATCTCTGAGTTCATTTTTTGGGTTCTTTCAGATAAATATCCAGAAGTGGGATGCTGGGATATGGTAGTTATACTTTTAATTTTTTGAGGAACCTCGGTACTGCTTTCCATGGTGGCTCTGTCAGTTTTATATTCACACCAATGGTGCACAAGGGCTCCATTTGCTCCACGTCCTCACTTGTTATCTCTTGTCTTTTTGGTACTAGTCATTCTAATAGGTGTGAGGTGATATCTCACTGTGGTTTAAATTTACATCTCTGAAAATTAGACGTGTTGAGCACCCATACCTGTTGGCCATCTTTGTCTTCTTTGGAAAAATGTTTATTCAGATCCTCTGCCTATTTTTAAATCACATATTTAGGTTTTTTTGGTATTGGGTTGTATGAGTTCTTTGTATATTTTGAATATTAACCTCTAATGAGATACATGACTTGCAAATACTTCTGCCCATTCTGTTTTTTCATTTTGTTGATGGTTTCCCTTGTGCGGAAGCTTTTTAGTTTGATGTAGTCCCACTTGTTTATTTCTGCTTTAGCTGCCTTTGTGTTTTGGTGTCAAATCCAAAAAATCATCATAAATGTCAAGGAACTTATTACTTTCATGGTTTTGGGCCTTACACTGAAGTCTTTAATCCATTTTCTGAGTTGATTTTTGAGAATGGTTTAAGGTAGTGGTCCAGTTTCAGTCTTTTTCATGTGGCTGTCCTGTTTTCCTACCATCATTTATTCAAGAGACTGTCCATTCCCCATTGTATGGTCTTGGCTTCTTTATTGTGAATTGACCACATATGCACATTTTATTTCTGGGTTCTCTATTTTCTTCCATTGATTCATGTGTCTTTTTAATGCCAATATCATACTGTTTTGATTACTACAGGTTTTGTAATATAGTTTGAAATCGGTGTGATGCCTTCAGCTTTGTTCTTAAGATTGCTTTGGCTATTCACATCTTTTGTGGTTACATATGAATTTTAGGAATCTTCTATTTCTGTGAAAAATGCCATTGGAATTTTGATAGGGATTACATTGAATCTGTTGATTGCTTTGGGTAGTGTGGGATTTTTAGCAATATTCTTTCAACGCATGAACACAGAATATCTTCCCCATTTATTGTTGATCATTTTTTTCATTAGTGTCTTATAGTTTTCAGTGTACAGGTCTTTCACCTCGTTGGTTAAACCGATTCCTAGGTATTTTATTCTTTCTGACGGAGTTGTTGATGGGTAATTCTTCTTTCTGATAGTTTGTTATTAGTGTATAGAAATGCAACATATTTGTATATATGTTTATATTTTGTATCCTGCAAATTTACTTTATTCTAACAGTTTTTTGGTGCTAATAGTGATAGTTTTCCTTCTTCCTTTCCAATTTGGATGCCTTTCATTCCTTTTTCTTGCCTAATTGGTCTAGCTAGGACTTCCAATCCTATGTTGAATAAAAGTGGCAAGAGTGGGAATCCTTTTCACCGTTTAGAATGATGTTAGATGTGGGCTTGTCATATATGGGCTTTATTATGTTGAGATACATGCCTTCTATATTTTGTTGAGAGTTATCATAAATGGATGTTGAATTTTGTCAAATGTTTTCTGTGTATTTTTTGAGAATGATTATATGGTTTTTATCCTTCATTTTTTGTTAATGTGGTGTAGCACATTGATTTGCAGATGGTGAACCATCTTTATATCCTTGGAATAAATCTCACTTGATTATGGTGTATGGTCCTTTTAATATATGTTGAATTTAGTTTCCTAGTATTTTTTTGAAGACTTTGGCATCTATGTTCATCAGAGATATGGGCTTGTCATTTTCTTATGACAGCCTTGTCTAGTTTTGGTATCAGGGTAATGCTGGCATTAGAAAGTGAGTTTGGAAATGTTTCCTTCTCTTGGAAGGTTTTGAGAAGGATTGGCATTAATTCTTCTTTAAATATTTGCTAGATTTATCAGTAAAGCTGTCTGGCCCTGAGTTTTTGTTTATTGGGAGGTTTTTGATTACCAATTCCATCTCCTTGCTAGTCATTGGTTTATTCAGATTTCCTATTTTTTTCAGGATTCAGTTTTGGTAGATTGTATGTTTATAGGAATGTTCTCATTTCTCCTAAATTGTCCAGTTTGTTGGTGTATAATTGTTTTGAGTAGTCTTATGATCCTTTGTAATTCTGTGGTGTCAGTTGTAATGTCTTCTCTTTTGTTTCTGATTTTTAGTTTTTTATCCTTTGTTCTTGGTGAGTCTAGCCAAACGCTTGTCAGTTTTATTTATCTTTTCAAAAAGCAGCTCTTAATTTCATTGATTTTTTAATTCTTTTTAGTTTCTATTTTATTTCCACATGGTTATTTCCTTTCTCTACTAACTTTAAGCTTTATTTGTTCTTTTTTGGTTCTGTGAGATATAAAGTTAGGTTGTTTATTGGTGATCTTCCTTGTTTCTTGATGTAGGAATTTATCACCATGAACTTTCCCTCTTAGAACTGCTTTTGATGCATCCATAAGTTTTGATATGTTATATTTCCATTTTCATTTGTTTCAAGGTATTTTTTTTATTTCTTCTTTGACACATTGGTTGTTCAGTAGCATATTGTTTAATCTCCACATATTTGTAAATTTTCTGGTTTTCTTGTGACTGATTTCTAGTTTCATACCATTGTGGTCAGAAAACATGCTTGATATGGTTACAATCTTTTTAAATTTATTAAGACTTGTTTAATAAAGTCTTGGCCAGTCATGTGATCTGTCCTGGAGAATGTTCCATGTGTGCTTAGAATATGTATTCTATTGCTTTTGGATAGAATGTTTTGTATATATTTAAGTCCATCTGGTCTGACATGTCATTTAAGGCCAGTGTTTCCTAACTGATTTTCTGTCTGAATGATCTGGCCATTGGTGAAGGTGGGGTATTGAAGTCCCCGACTACACTGTTGCATTGCTGCCTG